ACGTCACGCGACGGTATTGAACCTGTTCGGCGAGGTGCGAGTAAACAACCGCTATACCCAATGCTTTACTATAGGGAGAAACAACTTTTTGCGGGTGTCCTAGGCAGCGGATTGTAATCGGAATAATTTTGATCAACTCCTCACAACAATTGCTAAGCATGTGCTACGTTTAAAGGAAATCGCTTCGGCCAATTTTTCTCTAGGGGGGGGCAGAGTGAGCCGGTGAGGCAGCTTTATATAGAGTAATAGGTGCCCAAGGTGGGGGGGGGGGGGGGGGTAGAGTGAAGGGTAACAGCAACTTTATATAGAGTAATGGTGAAAATTGGATATTTTGACTCCCCGTTCCCCCTTAACGCAGAGCTGTGCGTCCGTAATACATTTTCTAACACTCTGCTAAACTCGCCCCCTCATGTTAAGGTTTTTACACACATTTTGGATGAAAATTTGACACCTTGGGTCCCTATATTATCATCCACGGTTTTATCCGACAATTACAGTTTTACGCACGTATTAGCACTACGTATCGCCATCATGGCTTGTACCACACCTGTAATACATTTGCGGATCTCTCTTCCCCTCCTTTAAAGAGTGATACATATTTCATAAAAGATCCCATGTATATTGTCGTTTTGGTGACACTTGTAATTCCTGGTGACGTCACCAGAAGTTATGTTTTCACACTAGTATATTTCTCGTGCAAATTCAAATGGCACTAACAATAAGAGCAAAGTAAGAGATGTCATGTTATCACACCCAGCGGATCTATAAGAAATGAAAGATATTCTGATGATAAAATAAAATTATGCAGTTTGAAAGGCTTCACCAGAGTTACATTGAATGAGTGTGACACTCGTTTTTTCAGCCGACAAACTTATTTCTAGGGAGTAATAATACATGGATTCGATTGAACTGAGCTGCGCCTTGTTTGTTAAGATTACCTCTACAGACTTAAACTAAAAACCTAGCAAAAATGGTACCTACTGGACATAGCAGAGGTGAAAAGCAGAGTGTTACCAGAATTACTATAGACACGGATACACGTCTTCCAGCTCACCTAGCACAAGTCAACTTGAAGGCGTGCACTTATGATTGTCATTTCATCAAAATTGAAGATATAACCGAGATAAAATGTTGTCTCCAAGGAGTCTCATGTGATGGTGAATGCATTTTATCCGTTTGGAAAGCTAGAAAAGGACCCCGAATACACGCAACCAGGGGTTACATTTCTAATCTCTCCCTTTAAAAAAAATTAACCTGAGACCAGCTAAGAGTAGGACAAATTTTCCCCCGTTTTCTGCCATCACATAGAACGAAGCAACAAAAAAAAAAGTCACTGAAAAACAAAAACTGACAAAATAACAAGGTTACACAGATCCTCCCATTGAATAAAAACAGCCCTTTCCCTTTTGAAATTTTGAAGTTTTCCCCCACAAAATTTAATGAGGGCAAATAAGAAGAATTCTATTATACTGTTGAAAAGTCTTAAGGCAATTGGTAGCTCCAAAATTGCAACATGGGAGAGTGTAGTTTTTGTGAAATATTGAGCACTTGACTCTGATCAAAATTTGTAACATCAAGGCCATCAAAATTATTTGTTTGAGCTTTTCACTTGTTTAGAACAATCTTCTCAACAGGGCTTAACATAAAGTTAGAAATCAGCCTTCTAAAAGTCAGTAAGTAAAGGCCAGGCCGACCAGCGAGGCGCCTTCAAGGGCCAAGGCAATAGCTTCCTGCTGTTGTGCACCCCAAAGTTGGACCATAACTTAACAAGGTCCTTAAACTCATACTATTGACACATTCTAAATTCCTGCAAGGCTCAGCGGCCGTCTGATAGCCAACAGGAGGTCTTATCAACGACTGTGGTAGACCCTGCAGAGGATGGATGTTCAGAGCATGGTCATTAGGGTGCAGCGATTTTAAAAAAAGTTGTCCGATCGTGTTGGCCTAGCATAAATAGATGCTCTATGAGGTTATGAACCAAAAAGTAAAAGTAATTTCTTTTTGCATTTGGCCGTTTTCTGTCAGTACATGGGACCTAAAGATGGCGTCTGCAAAATTTGATTTTTCAGGCAAGTGAATAGTCAATCTCAGCTGAAATTGTCGATTTTGTGCCGTGGACAAAAATTTCCTTGGTTTTTGCGTAACTTAAACTGTTAAAGTAGTAACGGCAAATTGCCCGAGAGTTGCGGCTGTTACGCAGTGCTACGCAACAAGGTACGTGGGGAGCCTCGCGACGCGGCGCCGGCGCGCCCCGTCGTCGCGACCCTTTAATCCCAGAACGAATGTATTCGGGATTCTCCATTTGAGAGCTCGGCAATCCACTGTGACTTGAAAAATCCCATCTTCTAGATTATGGCTTATGAATTTTTTTCATGGTTGCAATTTTCAATCTTTCTTCAAGACTGACATTTTTAAGTAGGGGATTGAAATTTCTGAAATTATGAAATGAATGTTTCACTCCAGAACTTTTCCTTCACACTTTTCTCAGGCTTAGGACTAACCAAAGAAAATGTAATTCCTTGGGCGGGTTAAAAAAGCCCCCCCCCCACCCCTGCGAGGACTCCTTAGTTTTTGAAATTTAAGGATAATATCCAAATATTTCCGCTTTGAATCAATGTTTGGTTTCGAGGGTAGGTAAAATTTTTCAGTCCAATAAAAAACCATCGCAAAGAACCATCCCTTGCAGACTGTCTTTAAACTTGCTGGGAAACTTCGGTCACTAGCTGAACATGACGTTCGAAGGCCTAACAATGGCATGGAAACTTGAAAATCCTTGCTTTGGACTGACCTTCAATAAAAATTTTTATTTCTTCCTTTGACATAAAAGCGACAAGTGGAGGCCACAGTAATGTTTTCTAACTTATCCCAGGCAATTAGTTTTATACAACAAGCGCAATGAAGTTTAGTGGACGGATTCTGAATGGTCTTACATTCTTGGATGAAGAGCTGTGTTTGGCGATTTAAATTCTTTCAACAGCAATTTTCCTCACATTTTTATCTTTGTGATGCTGAATTGCCAGAGTTTCCAGCCATCCCCAGGCCTTCGAACGTCATGTTCAACTAGCGACCGAAGATTCCCAGCAGGGTTGTGGACTGTCTGCGAAGGATGGTTACGAGCGAACAATATTATTGGACTGAAAAATTTTACCTACCTTCGAAACCAAACACCGATTCAAAGCGGAAATATTTGGATATTATCCTTGAATTTCACAAATTCAAGAGTCCCCGCAGGGGTGGGGGGGGGGGGACTATTTTAACACGCCCAAGGAATTACATTTTCTTTGGTCAATCCTAAGCCTGAAAAAAGTGTGAAGGAAAAGTTTTTGAGGGACACTTCAATTTCATAATTTCAGATATTTCCATCACCTCCTTGATAATGTCAGTCTTTAAGAAAGATTGAAAATTGCAACCATGAGAAAAATTCATGAGCCAAAATCTACGAGGGTCGTCCAGAAAGTAAGTTCACTTGTTTGATATCTCTTAAGTTACGGTAGGTAAAGAAAATCTGTAGAAAGCGTTGAAAAGCCACTGTTCTCAGCCCTCTAAAGCGCTATAGATTTTTAAATTTGGTTAGATAGAACTCAGGAAAAGTGGGTTTTTCTGAACCCACCTCCTCTCCGCACGGTTCCAAAATTTCACGGAGCTTCATTCCAAGTGAGCCGCTGTGTTTATTGCTAGTAGCAAAAAAGTAGCTTAGAGGTGGTTGAAATACCTGTAAGACATAAGTAAAGACTTTTCTCAGGTAGGAAATAGCAGGATTGACCGTGTTTACTTTGATTATTGGTGGCTTTGGACTGCAGTACATGGAAATGTTAAGCTACATTTGGTCACTCTTGGAGTTGTAACCCTGAATTTGGTTTTACTGTCTGAATTGAGTTCTATTTTTCGTTCTCTTGCCAAGAAAGGTGACCCTAACTGCACTAATTCAGGTTCATTTATGGTAAAAGTTGAAAAAGCTGCATATTTTTCCAAATCATGGATCTTGGACGAAATTTCTTTGAGAACGGATAGGATAATTTGAATGCTTATGAAGGATTCAACTAGCTAGTGAGAATTTACGTTGACAATTCTGTAAACTTTTGCTCGGATGCAGCTGATTTTGAAGTAAACACGGCTAATCCTGCTATTTCCCACTTAGGAAAAGTCTTTACTTATGTTTTACATGTATTTCAACCACCTCTCAGAATCTCTAAGTTGGGTTCAGAGAAACCCACTTTTCTTGCGTTCTATTAAACCAAATTTGAAAATCTATAGCGTGTTAGAGAGCTGAGAATAGTGGCTTTTCAACCCTTTCTACAGATTTTCTTTACCTACCTTAGTTTAGGAGATATCGTACAAGTGAACTTACTTCCTTGACGACCCTCGTAGAAGATGGGATTTTTCAAGTCACAGTGGATTGCCGAATTCTCAAATGGAGCGTCAACAACTCATCTGTTTCGGTTCGGAAATCACTTCCAAATAGAGAATCCCCAATTTGCCTTTACTACTCTAATAGTGTAAGTTACGCAAAACCCAGGGAAATTTTTTTCAACGGCACTAAATCAACAATTTCATCTGAGATTGACTATTCACTTGCCCAAAAAATCAAATTTTGCAGACGCCATCTTTAGGTCCAATGTACTGACAGAAAACGTCCAAATGCGAAAAAAATTTACTTTTACTTTTTGGTTCATAATCTCATAGAGCATCTATTTATGCTGGGCCAACTCCATCGGACAACATTTCTTGAATTTGCTCCACCCTAATGGCCATGCCCTCATCGAGTTGGACTGTGTCGTTTTCATCTACACTGATAGGTAGTGCTGGCAGTGACACACACTACGAGTGATCAAAGATTTTTTCACAACCCAGTTGAACAGCGTAGACGGATTACTTACTGAGTGACTTTGCCCCTCCCACTGTATGGTACCTCGCAAGGTCAGGGTTTTGGAATGGGTCATATACCCTTCCTTAAAAAGCCCTCTTCAGGAATGATACAAAAAACAAAACAAAGGTTTTACCGGAACTCTGGCATGCTCTCCACAACTGATTTAACATGTATTAAATTCAAATCCTTGCACTTTTCTAGAAACAAGAAATCATCCAAGCTGTGAGCGTTATCAATTAGATATCCTTTTCCTTGAATGTGTATAGTACGCTTGATTTGAAGGCCTGTAAAAAAATACATTTATCTGCAGTTTTTAATACATCATTAGAAAATTTTCTCTTGCAAATATGCATGAAGTTTTAATACATCCTCAGAAAAATTTCTCTAGCAAATATATATGAAGCTATAAATGTATGATGTTGCGTACTCAAGTTTTCAGATAATTGCATTCAAAGTTTTCAGAGCGGTGCATTTTGATGTCCAAGCAGCAAATAGGTTTTAGGAAAGGAATATATTAGAGAGAAAGGAAGCGATTATGGAACCGGAACATTGTTTGCATCAAGCCCCTTATAATGTCCGTACCCGGGATAGTTCCAAAAACTTTAGTTAAACATCTCCGAGACCTTGGAATAGAGAGTTACCTGCTTCATTCAATGCAGAAGTCCATCGTCATAAACATGTCAAGTATTGTCAGGTTGTTTCTTAATATCAATTAATTTTTTAAATTTTACTTTAAAATAAAATTTACTTTTCTTTCAAGCAAGATGGTGTGTATTACTGACTTCGGCCTGTAGCCTATCAGTAATACCTATACGGGAAGTATTCTCTCTTCCTAGTTGAAAAAAAAAGAGAATAATTTTTATTTTTTCACTAATGCACAGTATAAATACAGGCAATATGGCAGGTCCTCTTTACGTCTAAGATACCGTTTATGTACAGGATATGTTTATTTAACCTCTAATAATTCATTCATTGAATAAGGACATTTCGCTAATAAAAATAATTTAGTTTTTTTTAATAAAGGATGGCTCTGTTAAAATATGTTTCAAGTTGTTTGGTAGCTTGTCAAAATATTGTTTCATTCTCTTAGGTATTCGCTCTCTCTCATTATTTTACTCAGTTTACTCTTTCTGGTGTTGTAACGTTCAAACATTTTTTTAGTAATTCCAGATAGTTCAGTACAATAATGCCGCGCACTGTTTGAATTTGATAGTTTTTTAAATAATCATAGTATGAGTCGTCTCCTTTTAATTTGAAAATTACACAAATTGCTTTCTTTGGCAGAATAAAATTTCATTTATTTTATTTTTTAAGCAAATGCCCAGGTCTTAATAGAATAATTGAGATGTGATCCTATTAATGCATGGTGCGCTAGAGGGAGCAATTCTGTACAGCAAAATTTACTTACGACTCATAATACATAAACTGAAGTTTAGATACATGAACTGTGATACATAAACTGAAGTTAAGATACATAAATTGTGATACATAAACTGAGGTTTAGATACATTAACTGTGGTACATAAACTTGCTTTTTAAATTGTCCACTTGATGTTTGAAATTTGGACTACAGTCTAAATATACACCTAGGTGTTTTATCACATCCACCCGATCGATTTGTCTTTCCTCAACAAATATATTGAAACTTTTCATGTTTTGGATCCTTCTGTTGATCAGCATGTATTTGCTTTTTTCTTCATTAAAGGAAACATAATTTAATTTGCACCACTGAATAAGATAATTCATAATTATAAAAGTGTCTATTTTCAGGTTTTCAATCAACATGCTCTGCTAATAATTCGTAGAATATCATCTGCATACAGGAGGGTTATGAAAATAGATTTTCAAGTTTCTTGTCTAATTTTTAGACCCAAGTAGCTGGCAAGATCGTTAATGAAAAGAATAAATAAGATCGCAGCTATAACTGAGTCTTGCGGAACTCCTGTTACCAAATGTTGTTTCAAATGATAATTTCTCTTCCCTATTTTACGATAATTTCTGCGTATTGGTATCTTTTGCTCGAGAAGTTTTCTAGCCATTTACAGAATGTATTACTGAATCCTATTCATTTAAGCTTGAAGAGCAGTACATCAAAACGGACAGATTCAACAGCTTTTCTAAGATCTACTGCTACAACCACTAAGAATTGTTTTTTCTTTTTATTTTCGAGTGAAATTTCATGACATTTTCTTACAGCCTCGTTGGTGCTTAAATTGTCTCTGAATCCGTATTGATGTTTATACGATATTCGATTTTCTTTTAGGAAACAAGAGATTTGCTTCACAACAATTTTCTTGAGGACTTCTGATATTGGTGAGATAATGACAAGGGTCTGTAATTACGTACCTAAGTCCTCTTTTGGACCTCCCTTATGCAGCGGAGAGACCTAACACTCTTAAAGAACTTGGGAAGGATTCATTTTCAAAAGATTGGTTTATATAATCTGTTTAGAGTGAAGTAAGTTCACAACTAAATTTTTTAATTACAATGTTGCAGAGCCCATCATGACTTTCAGACTTTTTAAGGCTTCCTCTATATGATACTCTAATAGCACGTATTTCTGTCAAACGGAACTAAACGCCATTGAGAGGAAGGTAGAGGGGGGCTTGGATTGGCGGCGGAACCGGGCGTCGGGCTCATTCCGTCCTATATTCGCAATGCTTTTCCATGGCGCTTGGTTCTGTTTGACAGAATGCGCTATCCGGCATTCTAAATTCTTCAAAAAGGAACTCAATTTGGCGCTTAGTTCTGTTTGACAGAAATACGTCCAATTGAAGCCTCTAGTTTGAAAGTGTTGGTAGATTTTTTTATGTGTACAAAATCTTTTGAATCCAGGTTTTTGAAAGTATATTTTCATATGACCGAAATGAAATAGTTGTTGAGCACGTTTGAAATTTCTACAGGACCAACATATGTATTACCATTACATACGATTTTATCAATTTTAAAATTTAAGGTTTTTTATTTTCTTTCTTCATTTATGATACACCACAATGTTTTATCCTTATCCTCTGAGTCCCTAATTCGTTTCTCAGTCAAGGTATTTTTTTCTTTCAAGAGGTCATTTTTGTAATCTTTTTTTGCACTCTTAGTTCTTTTTTTAGGTTGCAGTAAATTTTTTTATCGAAATGCAAATTCTGTTTCAGACAAGCCATTTTATTATTGAAATCTTTAACCTTGCGGTAGTGCTCCTCTTTTTTTTCCTTGCTCAACATCTCTTCATTCCTCCTTCGAACATAACCTTACAACTTCACCTTCAAACATAAAAAAATCACCATGCCAAACTGGGACCTCGGAGAATCGTCGGGATTTAAGAACCCTCAAATTTCAGGTGTGTCAAAAAAGTAGCTCTTATTGACCTATGAGTTTCCCCAAAATTTCGTTTTGATAGGTGCATATGCTCAAAAGTTAGAGGAGAGGGGGTCAGGGACTTATCGCTTACCCTACATTCGTGACACATTCTTGGCAAAGAAATAAAACTTATTTCAGTGTCAAATAGGATCGAACACTAGTATGGTGTTGTTATTTATATATTTTGGTTGGTGACTCCCTTCGTTCTTTTTCTTTTTATTCCAACCGAAGATTTTTTTTCCTTACTGCAATGTACACAGTAAATAAAATACTGAAAATGAGATAAGGTAGGTAACAAATTTAGGCAACTGACTTAAAAACGGACAGAAATTATTGAATATAAAATACCTACCTGGAATGGTCAGCATCAATACAGAAGGGATATCTCCTTCTGAGAGAGCAATGATGTCTAGATTTGTGTCTCCGAATAAGGAAAAGTTCTTGATTTTTCTTTCATTCCAAATGCGAATAGGTATCATAGTAAAAGGGCAAATGACAATCAAGTCTTGCATCGCACTTAAAGCCAAAATGGAACTGCAGAAAAACAAAGATCAAGGATTGGTTGGTAAAGAAAAACAGGGAGAAATGTATTAAAATTCTATAGACTAAAAAAAAGGAGTGTTGACTGGATATTTTTCCAGCCCAACATATATTTGATTGGATATTTTTCCAGCCCAACATAAATATGCTTGGATATTCGAGATTTTAAAGTATTAATGGTTGGTTGGGCTCTGTGTTTTGCATTTTTTCAATCTTTTGCATAATGCAGCAAATGCATTCATAATGCAGGTGGTTTGTGCAACACGTGTGTTTTGGCGTTAAAGTCATTTGTCAGCTGAGTCGTGATCTTTCTATTTACTGATGGAAGTCAATAGGATGTAGTTACATAATAAAACAAAAAAATTGAAATGCTGTTCGATAAAACAAAAATTTAAGAGTCAGAAAGCCAAATTTATTACTGAATTGCAAGAATGACTTAAATTATTTAGTCTTTTGGTGTCACGAAAATAAAAAAGCAGTCTTGAAAATATTATTCATTAAAAGAGTTATGTGCAGAAGTGATCTACGTTTTTAGAATGAGCTTATAACACGATGTTATCCAATAGTTGGATAGAAAGTGATCGTCACCAAAATGACATGCTGTCATTAAAATAAAACACTGGATATGAGTTTAAATAATTTAAACTTACTCTCAAGTATTCAAGAACACAATTTATTAAAGTAGGAACAGTTAAACAATAACACATAAAAGACACGTCATTCTGGTGACCAGATGTCAGTCACTTCATGTTCAAAGCTTATCATAAACCAATTCTAAGAACCTTCTGTAAAAAATTCTCCTAACAAGTAACTTACAAAATTATGCAGGTGCTTACACATAGATATCAGTAATTCTGGTGATGTCACCAGAATGACATTTTGAGGTAATACATTTTCCCTCAAATTTACAGTAATAAAATATAGCAAAACATTCAGAATAGATCTAGAGTACATCTGCAGCTGTAAGAAAATAATACTAAATTATTCGTTCTACCGATCATTTTGAGGGGCAAACAGTGTCACCAGAATGACATGATTGAGTGAGACACTAGAAAAATCAGAACTTTGAGTCTACTACTGTCACTGAACTACTGTCATGATTAATACGAGGGATTTACACCAATGTACCAAGCCCCTATCAACTCTCTTGATCTTCCGGCACTGATTCAGACCACAATCCGCACTCTAGCACTGTATTCTGAGTGGCCACAAACTAAAACTGAATGTATCAATAGAATGACCGAATATTGAGTTACACAATTCAAGCTCCATACAAAATTAAATAATGCAGTTTACTGGCGTTTCAATTCATATTTTTTCAAAAAATATACAGTCAAGTCCAAAACAAAATGAGACAAAGCTTGTAGAAAGCACTGGTTCATTTATACATTGATTAGCCGCATTGACTGCCCTGCAGACGTACACAACACACATCAAGATGGACATTTTTACTGTTTAGCACGTCGAAAAAAGGTTTAGAGGCATTCAAATCTCCTGTGGATTTTTTCGTGGTTGGTATGACCTACCTCTACCCAAAAAATCAAATCCCGAACGAAAATATTAGAATTAAAAAGATTGAGCAGCTAGTTGTCTGTCTTTCCTATATTTTCTCCCCTTACCTGAAATCAACCCATTTACTCCTGTACACACATACTTGTAAGAAAAGGGAATTGGTAAAATCATACTAAAAAAACTGAAAAGTAGACCCACCTAAGATGATGCACATACTGAGTTCTCTTGCATGAAATCTAAAGTCACCTCAGACTGGGATTCCAAAATAGACTTGAATGAATGAGTTACGAGGTCTGTCCGGAAAGTATCCGACCTTGTTGATAATCTCGCCATCGGCGGTTGATAAAAGGTTGGGGCTTGGGATTATCTTTTCAGGGACTCTCCTGAGTGCAGGTGCACAGCCGAATTATTACACTTTCAATCAGTCGTTGGTAAGTTGCTGCTTAGTGCGTGCGATTCTGCTGTGATCATCAGTTTTCGTTTTTCCTAAAAAAAAGAAGTTGAGAAGAGTAGGGTGGGAAGAAGTTATGAAGAAGATCATAACAGGGGACAAGTCGTGGGTCCACTGGTAGGACCCTGAGACAAAAATTCAATCGTCAGTTCGGATTGCACCTGGGACACCTCGACAGAAGAAAACTCGGGGAGTCGCAGCAATGTGAAAACTACGTTGACGGTTTTCTTTGATCATGAAGGTGTCGTCCATCATTAATACGCTCCCCAAGGCTCTACTATCAATACAGAGAGCTACTGAGAAACTTTACGTCACTTAAGGGGCCTTGCGGAGCGTATTCATGATGGACGACACCTTCATGATCGAAGAAGACCGTCAACATTGTTTTCACATTGCTGCGACTCTTCCGAGTTTTCTTCGGGCAAGGTGTCCCAGGTGCGATCCAAACTGACGATTGCATTTTTCTCTCAGGGTCGTACCAGTGGACCCAAGACTCGTCCCCTGTTATGATCTTCTTCATAATTTCTTCCCACCCCACTCTTCTCAACTTCTTTTTTTTTTTAGGAAAAACGAAATCCGATGATCACAGCAGACTTGCACGCACTAAACAACGATTGATTAAAAGTGTGATGATTCGGCTGTGCACCTGAACTCAGGAGAGTCCCTGCAAAGATAATCCCAACCCCCAACCTTTCCTCAACCGTTGATAGCGAGATAATCAATGAGGTCAGATACTTTCCGGACAGACCTCGTATACAGACACACATTTCCCGAACTACAGAACCCACCACGCCCACTTCATTGCTACCAGATTCCACAAAATGATGCTTCAGGAGCAACTTTTCTCCAAGAAGATTCCAATTTCCTCATATGGTCAATGTAATCGGTTATGCAATAAGTCTGAATCTTGAATTTTCTTGACCGTTACTTTCAGCCGCCAGTAGGCTCTGAAGGTGCCAAAAATGCGGAATAAATGTCCCATCTGGCAATGTTGTAGAATTCGCTTTTCCAACAGACTTTTCACACCGTTTCCGAGAACTGAGGTCTGAAAGACTGTTACTTCCAGATGTTACTTCCAGCCGTAGGAGAGCTCTAAAGGCGCCGAAAATACTGAAAAAATGTCTCATCCCCGGATGATACAAACAACATCTTTCAGGGTTTTTTATGCCTTGGATGTGAAATTATATGCTTGAACATGTCTACAAATGCACTAAACTACTAAAATACTAAAGTGGAGTCATTTTAGCTCATTCTCAGCAGGCGCTGCTATAGACAAATTATTTCATTAGTGGTATCATAATGGGCCTGTTGCAAACTTTTGCTAGAGCAGAATGAAGAGTTGTTTCCTATAGATAATGCCTCAAAAATCACGATGAGCGCATCGGCAAAGTCTGAAATGCACTCATAAATTCACAATCTGCTAAGAAATTTGCGTTATTTTGAGCTTCCCGCTTCAAAAACGATACTACTGCACAGGTGAACATTTTGTTAGAGGAGTCGCTCCATCGTCGGCAATATTCATCATGGCCGACGCTTGCGCAGTTCCTCGCGTAATTCGAGGAGA